AGCGGATTGGAATTGGAAAGGAACATACTTTTACAACATATATTATACTTTTGATGTACATTTTCATCTACTGTCTCGAGTGGAAGCAACAATTAATGGCCAGTCAGATGAGGGGGAACGGCTGGCTGTTTTGCCACTACATTTTTAAAATTTCCAAACATAAATGCCAATTACGAAAATATAAAACAAAACTATAGATATAGAACAAATACGAAATGTTTCAACTGGGCCTCTGGTCCCTTTGTTAGGTAACTGCTGCTGGCACCATATCCAGATAATGGTTCCCCAACCCCTGTTGGAAAATTCTGGATCCGCCCCTGTAATACTCCTCTGTTCCTTGAATACCGCACACATTCGTCTCGACTTAAATGTGATAAGAAACAATAAAGGATGTGAATATTATCAGATATAATGACAGCAGAATCCCCTATTCAGGGGACACCCCTACTAAGGGGACACTTTCGTAAAACGAGGGGAATATATATCTTTTAACACTACAGCCACCCCTGTTAAGGGAACAGGGACATTTTTTTAAGGGACAGTTTTGAGTGCACCTGAATGACTTAAAAATAATTGGCCGTTAATAATTCTGGCCGAACGTAGAAAGTTAATGGTATTGTTAATTGAGGTTTACGAAAAGGCGTGGCACTAACTTGAGTTGCTGACAATAGAGAATAAATCCAAATAACAGCAACAGAATTTAGTCCCACAATTGCTGCTATGTGGATTTCGGACCATCCCATTCCCACCTAACACTACACATATTTTATTTAACGTTTTACGTTACGTTTTAATTACGTTTCACTACATACTTATTTAACGTTAGTGATCTATTGCGTTGTTGAGACACTTGTAACCTTGTTGAAAACTACTACTATATAAGCACTCTGTTTAATCTTTGGTGTATAACTTACGTTTATATATATTATATAGAAATTACATAACTTGAGAATACAATGGAATATATAGCATAAATATAAAATTTCAGGAAATATATATAGAAGCTGTCTCTTATACACATCTAGATGTGTATAAGAGACAGGTATTATTATTATTAGTTAGAATTATGTTAAGAAAATTAGTTATTTTAAACATAGAATATGTGTCACAAAGCCAGATCGCATCCACTCAATGTCAGTGATTGAAATGAAGTTGGTTCTCTAGTTCCTAAACTATGTAACCTTGCATTGTTCGAAGATATTGTTCATTTTGCTTTGTATGCCCTTTTTATAAGGATGAGAGATAGACCGATCACTGTTGTTTTTTATTAGACAAATTATTTCAATCCTATATCTTATTTGATTTCGAAATGTCAATGTACACATTGATTAATCCATTATTGTTTTGTTTGTCTCTCGAAGAGGAAGGCTGCCCTCTCTTAATTCTTTAACGTCATATATGCACATAGCTTTATTTTTTTATTTAGAATGTAGGCCTACGCACAATAACAACTCTAAAATAGTCCGATAAAGTGAAAATGGATAAAAGTGGTCGGTCGAACGAGATAAAAAATCACAAACCTTTAAATTGCGGTTTCACATACTAACGATAATACATAATTACGTTAAAGTGCAGTTAAATC